AAAAAAAAAAAAAAAAAGCACAAGCGGCTTCGGGAGAGGATATGGGTGTTACCGATCCCCTCGATTGCCTCTTTGTCGCCCAAGCTCGCGACGGTGCCGCATCCGGCGTCGCCGTACACGCACCACCGGTCGGCAACGCTGCTGCACACGTCGCTTCTGGCGTCGGCCTCTTCATTAACATCAGCATCATCATCAACAGCAGCAGGAATAGTAGGAGCAGGAGCAGTAGCAGCGGGCCCGCACGTCGAGTTCGACCTCACCATCTCGCTCGAGTGCGACCAGCTCTTGCTCGCTAACGCCGAGGACACCGCCGACGAAGGGCTCGAAGACTCGGATTGGGACGCCATCCGCGCTGACCGCCGTCGCTGCTTCCGTCACCTCTTCCCGCCCCTCGATCTCCCCGGATCTATCCACAACACCCTGCTCGCGTCTCACCCCTCCGATTAACCAAAATCTCATATATACTTGACTGAGAAAATCAAAAAAATCAAAAAACTTATTGTAACAGTATCTGAACGCGTCTCTCAATTATAATTTTTTTTAACTTATATATGTATTCCCAGAAAACGGTCGCACAATATGTCGATCATCAGATGGCGACAAGAAACATGAAGCATGCATTCGTCTTGCCTTCCTTCATCTTGAGCTCTAGAACCCGATGAGAGTGGTTCTGCCAACCACACGGGATCCATCTGTGCGTGTATATAATGCACTCTCTCAAAGCGAAGAAGGATTCGTACATGTCCTCGTGGCGGCACTGTGTGTCTCTGCGGCCCTCCGATACATATTTACCTACCGTCGACTCCTCCTCCTCATGTGGCTTTTCCAAAAGGGGGACAGGTTTTCTCCGGACCACCCCCCCGGGCCTCTTCGACAAAATATATGTATGTGCATAGTGCTGCTGCTGCTAATGATGATGAATGCATTCCCTGTTTTTTTTTGGTTTAATATGCTGTAAATGGAGAAACAAATATGGACCCAAAAGAAAGTGCAAGGAGTAGGTTCGCTACAGGGGCTGCCACCATGCGCATGTGCCTCATGATGATGATGATGATGATGATGTGTATGTATTTATGTATGTATGTATGTATGTTTGTATGTGTGTATCCAAGATCTGGGCCTCTTCCTCGGGTGTCAATTCCTCGCCGCTTGTCTGAACGTATGCAGATAGCCAAGTGCTGCTATGCGACGATATGCACTTGTTCTCAACTTGACAAGACTATTTTGGATGGATATCGGGATTAGAAGAAGTGTGTATGTGTGTATATAGGATAGGGTGCTTGGAGAGTGAGAGGGGGAAAAAAGGGCGTGGTGGAAGGTGGAGAGGTTATTTCTGTAAGCAAGGGAAGAAAAGTGAAGGGGAGATGATCAGTAATATGTAGAAAAAGAAGAAGGAGGAGGGGGTCGGAAGGAAGCAAGGAAGGAATGGCGGACCTTGATAAGGTTCAAGAACTCGGCCCTAGTTTTGTCCATGGAGCGGAAGCAGCCGAGCATGGAAGAGGTAACGGTGACGGAGCCAGGTTTCTGTACGCCGCGAATAGTCATACACATGTGAGTGGACTCGATGACGACGGCGACGCCTTTTGGGCTGATGACCTGGTTGAGGGTCTTTGCGATCTGCTTGGTGAGGCGCTCTTGGAGCTGGAGTCTGCGGGCGTAGAACTCGGCGATCCTGACCAGCTTGGAGAGTCCTATTACCCGCTGGTTAGGGATGTAACCAATCGCTAGCTTGCCCGTGAACGGCACCAAATGGTGCTCGCATAAACTGAATATCTCAATCTCTTTCACGATCACCATCTCGTCGTGATCTTCGTTGAAGATCCCCGTACCGATGATGTCCTCTAACTTCTCATGGTAACCCTTCGTCATCCACAGCAACGCTCGTGCGTATCGTTCCGGCGTCTTCTGTAGCCCCTCCCGTCGCGGATCTTCCCCGAGACATTCCAGGATCTCCAACACCGCTTTGGATATCCGCTCCACTCGTCTCTCTTCCGTTTCTTCCGACGACGACCGCCCTTTTCCTGTATCTAATATTAAACTCCCCGAGGCTGCTACTCCTGAGACGCTTGTCTCGCCCATGTGCTTCGTGCTACCCGTGCTCTTCTGGACATCCGTCTCGTCGGTCCGTAGGTCTAGTACTTGCATGGCTTCGTGTATCTCTTCTTCTTCTTCTTCTTCTTCTTCACGGTCTCCACTCCCTCCCTCTTGCGGATCCAACGGTTCTGTATCAACCGGGGAAAACATAAGTCAGCATTTCGGTGTATCATTCTTTTACATCTTCAATGGCTCATCATTGGCGTATGATTCATATAGAGTAGCCCTTCTTTTTTTTTTTTTTTT